AGAGTTAATAGAACAAATTGTACAATAAATGTCCGTAAATCTAGTGTTAATCCCTTGCCTTATGACTTTCTTTACAACCAAGTTTGTCGGTACTTACTTACACGGACCACCTTTGTTTCTTAATTGAAGGTTTTGCTAATCATTCATTTGGGTTGAACTTTACTTCGAAGTACCATTTTTTTTGCAATTACTTCGAAAATGAAAAGAAAGCGACGGTTTCTTCAGTAAAGGAACTTATTCAAAGTGATGACATATATATGTATATATCTGAACCGTCTTCTGAACCGTTGAATTTTTAAACCTTAAACTTCAGTCTTTATTTATCAAATATATATATATATCTGAACCGTCTTCTGAACCGTTGAATTTTTAAACTTTAAACTTCAGTCTTTATTTATCAAATACCAACCAAATATATAAAACAAATTTTCAGCCATTATTTGAGTTAGGTTTGGGTTAATATTTATTTAATACTATAACACATTACTAATATTTTATTGTTATTACTATAATCCTTAATATTTTATTTCTTAAAAACAAAGGTAGTCCGTGCGCAATGAACAATATTAACCTGTATTAAATTAATCTAGGAATCTTCATCCTTAGCTCCACTCATCATTATACGGCAAGGGATTAATCCTTTTAATCGCGAACCACCCACATATAGTTCAGCGAGAAAAGTATTTGAACGACATGCATTCGAAAACAATGGTTACGAATTTTATATTTCTGACAAGAAATATATTCATTTCAACGGTTCATCTCAGCTCATTTTGCCGCAGACGTAGAGATCAAGTATAACGAACTAGATCATTAGGACACACATCAATAAGTAAGCCATGGGATCAGAGTAACTTATATCATTATCATAACATAATATCATATTACGTAACACGTTAGAAGGTCACATAACGTGCACTGATTCGAGTTGACGAACATGCGCAAAAGTGTCAATCTTATCAAGTGCAGAAGACATCATTCCTAACTAATCAACTTCACATATCATCATCGTTAGATTGCGGATGTACAATATACATATTTAAGCTCTTATTTTCCGTATCAAAATTTCTAAGAGATTAAAGCCAAAGTGTAAAGATTCGCCACAATATTAAATTATATTTTATACATTAATCACCAGGCACATCCACGATCTTACCGCGAGCGTCGTCGATTTACGAATCAGCCAGGAACGTAAATCGATCAGCGAGATTTCCTTTCGGAGTTAACTTTAAAAAGTTCCTCTTAAGGTGACTCCATCCTCCATCGATCGCATTCCAATTATCGGTCGATCCCTTTACAACCCTCGACCGCGAGACTCCCGGAGCTCAGATGAACGAGGATCCGGAGGCTTCACATTAAAACACCTCGTCGAGGCACCGCGACGTCGACGAATAAGCCTGAAAGAAATTTCGTAGTTAATTACATACACTGGTCCACACAAAAGTATTAAAATCGATATACTTCAATGAAATTTCAATGAAAAGTATACATGTTATTTTCACATTTATTCCGATTATCATACATACGGAAATTCCAAAACATCTACTATCTTATGAGCACAACATTTTCATCACAAACATATCGATTTTAAATATTTTTATGGACTACTGTACTCATGTGCTTAAACGAGAGACTAAGATGGCGCTACGCCAATATGCAGTCCACGGCGGAGTCCGCAGTTTAAAACAAGCAACCGATTCCGAGCTTCGCTGGGTGTCGTACTGGTCGTCGAAATATCGCCGAACAATGATATTAATAATTAGTCAATATCGATGTTCCTCATTGTCGCGCGCGTCCGCGGACGCAAAAGTAAACCCCGTCGCGGTGTCTCGACCAAACGGCCATCTTTATCGCACGGTTTTTCATATCATCGGTGTCGTTTTCCATTTTTAAGCGTTTATATCATCGGGTAAAGGGGAGCGACGAATCGCTCGGCCGCGTTGATGGACGTGGCCGCAGCGAGACAGATTTCATAAGGCTTCACGATCATAACGTAAATCTAGCGGCGCTGATCGCACCGCGGTTAGCGCTTAAGCGAATTTAAAAGAAGTATATTATTAAGGCCTAAACGATAGATAAATGGACAATTTGTTAGCGGTGCATAAGTACACGATATTTTCGTTGTTAAGTAAACGCTTGTCAGAATTATACTCGCGAGGCGATGCTATTACATGTAGATATCTAACGTATGATAAATATATCAGTTATACTTCAATCGCCTTCGAGCGCGTCTTCGTGCGTCGGCGGCCGACAAAATGGCGGACATACCGGACTTCGTTAGGTTACTTATTTAAAACTTGAAATTCGAAGATTTTATTGTTTGAATATTTATTTTTCTATAATTAACTTGATGGTTGTAATGAATTTTGTTTGAGTTATTTGATGGCGGTAGATCAGGAAAATATGTTGATTGTGTTATTGAATTTGTGAAGGACTGTAACGAAAGTATTTTCCGATGCAGGCGAGGTATGCTGCAATGATTGTGGAAAGAAGAAATAATTTGCTACATCAATGATTTCTGCAATTAAACAATCCGAGCATCGTGAAAATTTCGATTGAATCTGTTTATCCTTCCACTTATTACCTCTGAAATTGAGGCACAGGCATCTCTGATTACAAAGTGTTAATTTTGTTGAGCTGTGTAATTACGTTTACGATTCCCACGGAAACGCGACACCAGTTGTTTTACGGATTTAATTTCCGCCCGTCCTATAGAAACTTTAGCGCATGCCTTCAAAATTAATTTACGCCGCGAGTTGCATTATGAAAATGTATGACCTCGAATTAATTTCTCGTTCACCTTGGCCGAGGAAAAATCTGGCAACAATGATTACGCGGATTTTCTTATCAACTTAATTAACGCCGGACAAAAATAGCACAAAATTCTGAATTAGTCGTCGTTTCTGTATTCATCCTGCAATATTTAAAATGCAGATTATAAACACCCTTAACGTACCCAATTATCAGAAATTCCTCAAATTCCAGCAATGAAATATTCTCTATAGATTCTAATTTCCATAAATTGATCCACGAATATTTATATCGGCATCAATATTTACAGTCTAGTGATAACTATCCCAGAAAGAACTTTACTAGAGATTAACAATTAAGTAAATATCGAATAACTAAATAATATGTTTTAAAAGAAGAAGATTAGCGCAACCTTTTCATATTTTTTCTGCGCGATGACGCAGTCGCGATGGCGGTCTATTAACACGTTGAATCCCATTTAAATACCGCCCAAATTCAATTACTGTAATTCCCTGATTGAAACGATGATTATGTGAAAACATTCCTATATTGTAAATAACGCTGCCTAATGCAGTGGCATTCAACAAGACAAACCTGCGATAATAACAATGCGATTGAATTAAATAACTTCATATCGTAGTTTTTTCATTGCGCATATTCTGCACCTTAAAATCACGCGGCATTCAACGTGTTAAAATGACGAGTCGCGTCGTCCGCGAAGACGTCCTCAAAGGCTCCCACTTGGTGGCTGTACGTGAACAAATAAGCGAGAACAAACGAACAGAAAGAGAATAAGGATACACCGATGCGAGAGTCGTCATGCTCCGGTGTTGTCTAAGCTTCTTCACGGGCGAGGAACAGAAGAAAAGCCCGTGGTGCCGGCGAAATCGTTTCGCACGAACGAGTGAGAAATCAGGGCAAGAACGAAACCGGGCTGGGTGAACGATGATGGCGTATAATGGGACGAAGATACCTGCGGCTCTAACTCTAAATACTTATACTTGTTACGCTATCCGTAAGTTTATATTGTATCTCTATCGTGACAGAATTTACGAGTATTGTACGTGATATTATATTTATACGGGCTGTTACACACTGTCTCCAATCTTCCATTTCTCCGTGCGACGCCGGGCGAACGAGAGAGAACGAGAGGAGGCGCAGGCGAGTACAAAAACGTAAAAACACGAGGAAGCGAGTGGTTAACGGGGACGAGAGGACGAATCTGGCGCCGGACGAATCAGAATATGCTAAAGCGCAATTGTAGAGACTCTTAAAATAACCATTGCTGCTGAAACGAATTGAAGATGAAAGAATAACGAAAACCTTCGAAAGAACCACACTCTGAGTGAGTACCTCTTATCAAGCAGAAGAGGACAAAAAGATCAATTTCAATAGAAATCGCGTCGACAGAAAACCAGCCCAGGCGTCCCTGATTACAACCCAGAAGGGACGTTCATTCTTTGCCAACAGGACGTTACAAGATTATCGTTTTCCAATAAATTGGAAAAGTCCTTCGACCACGGTATCCCGTAAAACAAACTCTGGACTCTTGATTAACAACCGCTTTAACCCAGACCAGCGAAATTAAGGAATGGAGAAAAGAAAGATGTTGACCAGTCGGGCAGCTGGCTCGTATGGACAGCGTCCGAACAGGGTGGGAACGTTCAATGACAAAAACAAGTACAATGAAGGAAAAAGTGGACAAGGTTGACAGCGGCGAGGAGAAAGCAGAAGAAAGAAAGTCTTAATTCGAATCAACAGCTGCGATGGTGGTCCAAGGTGGAGAAGGAATGTCAAGGGAACTGGGCGACTGAAAAACAACGAGTATCTCTTCCATTTTCTAGCTACCTTCAGCGGTAATTTGTAACGGAAAGTCCGTCCTCCGCTATTCCCCTCGAGTCCCTGGTCAGCGCTCTGTTCTCCGTTTCATCGGAGCTTTTCTTAACCTTTAAGTCGACGAAAAGAGACTGATTTGTGTACGGGGCAAAGCATTGTGCGTGCGTGGCCACGGGAACACGAAAGACGCGTTTCCGTGATTCGATGATTTCGATGATTTCCGTGATGCGGACGAAACGAACGGTCGATGGGATTTCTCTTTCGGTCCCGTGGCCACGCGTATCCAAAGACTGTATACAATATTTTTTCGTACGCCTGCGCCATCGTTCGCGCGAAACGCGCGTTCTCCGTTTCGTTTTCCTCGAACTGTTACTAGGCTTGTTTTTTAATAAACTTGTTTTTTTGTTTGTTAGAACGGCAGCGGGCCTGGGGGCGAATCCGTACGAGACAACGGGTAAGTAATTACGACGTGCAACATGTACTTTCGGTACAGTAATATTTTACTATAATATTGATATGTGATATTATATTATTATGATAATATTATAATATGAATAATAATATTATAATGATGGAATCATAGAAGTAATAGTATTATAATGTTATTATAACATTACATATGTGTAGGTAGATTTGTTTACTGTTATTTATTTGGAAACCTTTAAAGGAAATCACAACACAGATGTTTTCCTCTTGCGGAAAAAAAGTACTTTCGAGGGATGGAAATAATAATTTGAAAACCAATATTCTATTGTACTCATTATATTTCACAATATCCAGTAATTTAATTTACAAAATATTTGCATTTCAACTCAGAAGCTGTTGTTCAGAGACCGTCATATCGCTTTATCGTGAAAATTTCGCGCAAGTTCTCGTCTTTTACAGAAAATGTTTGTCGAATTTTTTCAGAAATTTCAACAAATTTGTTGGAAAATGTAAAATATTTCGCGTGTTACTGTCGACATACCAGATGTCGCTTTGAATTTCGCTTTGCTGAAATTAAATGCATTTGGGTTTTTAGTGACACTTGATATTGTGTTGGAATTTAAACGAATTCTAATGCAACGAATTTTACACGGGTTTTCCAATGAAACGTAACTGCGACGCTATTCCCAACGACGTTTTGGAGTGCCCACCTCAAACTGAATAACTCTTTCGCTTTAACATTGAGCCGTGGCAAAAGTTAAATGAAAATTTCGAAGTTGACACACGTTACAGCCACATTTTGACTAATTGCACGTGAACGCTCTCTTTATACGCTTCCCGTGTTTCATTTCCGACCTGTCCAACTTTCTCGTGGCTTCAATTATTTCATGAGAACTTTTGAACGTTATTTTCAAAAACGGCTGCAGTAATTGAAACACGTAAGAAACGTAACTACAATTTCATTGAGACCACGACAGCACGAAACACAAAGAAGTCATGTCAAATATTTCTTTTGAGACACGAGCTTAACACATTCACGTCGGAACATGTTCCTATATGTATAATCATAAATCGTAATAATAAAAATATTTTAAAAAATAACATTGGACTGCATGCTTTCATTACGTGTCTAGTTTTTTTAACTTCAACTGCTAACTGTGGGTAAACGTTACTAAACAATATTATAAACAATTTACTTTCCAACGTTGATTTATTTTATTGCTATAAATCAGCTGTGTACCACTGATAATACATTCCAATGTGAACATGTTAAAATTTGTTTCCGTGAAGAGGTTATTTGAATAGGCAAAACAACGGAACCTTTCTTGCATTTTGTTTCGACAGAGATTTGAGAGAGAAAATTGGTGAATAGTACCAGGTAAATTCGTGGCTAACACGCAACTCACCGAAGTCCATTTTTCATCAAGCCAATAAAATATGACGCGGTAAATTTCTATTAGCGTGCTCGGAGGAGGTGAACAATCACGTCATCGAGCGATGTCTGACAGGAACCGAAGGAGGATTGGCCGCATGAATGACGGCTCCGCGCCTGTTCTTCAATAGAGTGGAACCATCCACCCACGCGACCTGTCTTTTCAACCCTCTTTCTGCCTTCGCTTGCGCTGAAATTTCAACGATAAATCAAGCCGTTACGTTGACGTCTGGGACCGGCGTCTAGTCGACCACAAAAACAATGCGCTTTATTTAATCTTCAAAAAGGGCAATGTTCCGTCGCGTTTCATACACGTCGACAGACGGTATTTTAGCACTACAATAAATTATGAAATGCGCTTTTGTACTGCTAAATTGTTTTCAATTGACAATTAGTCGTGTTTTCTAGTTCAAATCGTAAATCATTACAAATTGGATTATAATATTAATTTAGATTCTAATATTACGGACAGTAACATTATAAATTTAGAATTTTATTATTACATGCGACATCTTCACTTTTTAGAAGCTACTTTTTACGTGAAAGAATAAAGAATATTCTTCAAACTTTTTTTATTAACGAATAAAATCCAAGTAGAAAATCAAACAGTCATTCCTCTTCAGTATAACAAAATTACTCCAGTTTCCCTGGATTTAAAAATTACAAAAGATTCGCAGTGTTTGAATATCTCGAGAGCTCGAAACTTTTAATGAATCAGAAGGTGACGTGTACCATTTCGATAATATAAAACAAAGTATTAAAAATAGCAACAATAATCTAATCAAACCTCCAATCTACTCACAACGCTCAATTCCTAATCCAGTAATTCCACTAAACACGAAATTGTCGATATCAAATAGAAATATCCATTTCCCATGAAAACTGTTCTAATCAGAGTAATTCACGCAAAAACCAAAATCCCCGATAAGCGGCGCAGTCAGCGAAAAAGGTCACCGTTGGAAAGGTTTTTTAATCTGTGAAAAGTTCAAGCCAACCCCTAATCGATAGTCCCATACATCCAAGCGATGTTCTCGAATCCCCTGTCTTCTCCGCAAAAACAAGAGAATCCGGTCGCTAGTGGATCATTTCTAAGATCCACGAACTCGTGGACCCGAAGCGACCAATAAAGGAGCGATGGTTCCGTAACGCTGGAACAATTTCTTCGACGTAACTGATCATTAGACTCGATCGTGTCCTTCCATTCGAAGGCCGGAGCTCATCAAGCTGAAAGCCACCGGTCATTTCTATAATTCCACTGTCGTAAAAGGTGATCATTTCTTTGTACAGCGTTTAATCGATCGCACTACGCGTCCATGGAATCGCTGAAACGGTTTCGCCATATCAATTCCTTCTGCCTCGAAAAGCTCGTCTTTGGAAAACGGAATTAGTTGTACTAGGCTGTTTCGTAGACCTGTTGCAGCACGTTTCGAATGAGACTATAAAAAACGTGGAATGAATCTACAGAGCGATAAAAAGGGTTTAGAATTTTAACCGTGGATAGTACTTGCTAAGTGGAAGAAAAAGGAATAAAAAAAAAGTACGAATAAAGAGTGAAAGAAAGAACCTGTTAGACGTTCTATTTCAATACAGTTTAAATATTCGTATATTTTTTCTTGATATTCAGTAGAATATTTTCGATATCTGTGTATAGCTGTAGAGTTGGAGGTACTAATGAAGAAAAGGAATATTATTTTTTAATGATTTTGAGCATTAGAAAGTGGGTTCGTTAGAGTTACGTAAGATAATGCGTGAAATATTATTAGTAGAGAAATAATCAAGGTAGAATAATTTATTGAATCGCTATAGAAATGCTCGTTAGTTTATAGTATTTATGTCTTTCAGCTGTAGGCGACATCTTAAAGTAGAAATAAGATGGATACCGAGATTCCGTTGACCACTTAACCATAAATCAGAGTTTAGAGAGACTTAAAACAAGTTCCATCGTCATGTAATCTTAAACTGAATCCACCGAGGTCCCGGTTACTCGTCGGGTATAGATGAAAATGTGATATTTACGAGAGGTTAACGTGTCGGTGTGCTTTATTAATTATTAATCACTATATGCTCGATACAACTACCAAAGTCCTTCGGATTTGACAAGTTAGTGAATAATAATAATAGTATTCTCCACAGTAACACGCCAGCATCAATTTCCAATGATTCCTTAAATACACTTCTAAGAATTAATTAATTAGAATTTATTAATTAATTTCTATGCTAGTTACTAAAAACTCAAAAAGCATTATCTTTGCTAAACTTATAAAAATTATTATGTTAGCAACGAAAATATTCAAAATTATTCAAATTCCAGTATAACAATATGTTTACATTAATTTTTTATATTCAAAGCACGAATCAATGTAAAATTGTTCGAACAACGTGGATCTGGAATAACTCAAATATTCGCGAGATTATAATAAATTATCTACAAGAAAATCTGAAAATGAGTACTTAAATACCTGATTACTAGCATAAGGATTAAGGTCTGATTCAGTTATAGAATACCATCTTACATGCACATTGAATAAAGAAAAAGGAACAAAGATCATTAGTTTTAGAGAGAAAAATCATCCCATTTGTGATAATATTTTACTGACACCATTATAATTCGCAGCTACCACACGTAGCCGCAAAATGCGGACTCGCGTTACGAGGCTCACGTAACACGGTTCTTCGGGTAAACAAATAATTAAAAAAATTGGAGGGACGATAATGCAACGAGGCAATTCCGTGTGATGGATTGCATTACGTCATACCGAGCGAACTTTTGCTTATCCGACATTAATTCGCAGATCGGCGCGCCAACTAGCTGCAATTAAACACGTACTCGAAAGGAATTAGATCACCGTTCGTAGGAAGCGATAAATCTTGGAACGCGAAACCATCGTAATGCATTCTTTCTTGCATGTACGTAATTGCTAGGTCGCCGCTAAATATATTCCTTTAAAATCAATTTTTTGTTCATAAATATCACAAAAGAGAATTAAGAAATTCTTATTTTTACTGTATGTATAGGTACTTTTATTTATATATTATACTTGATAAATATTTAGAAATATTAAAGGGAAATTACTAAACTTATTTTTTAGAAATATTACTGGTGGTAATTACTGATGAATTTAACGAGGTTATGAATTCTGTACCGTTTTATTCACTTTTATTACATTTCATTGGTCTTAGAGAAAAGCTCTGAGAATTTGTAAAGTAGGATGCACGTACAGAATTGAATATTCTGCCTGTTACTGTTTCCACTTCTTGTAAATGCTTTAAATTTCACTATTGCATAAACGGAAACTTGTACGAAAAGATTTTATTCTATACTTTACTACTAGTGTTTCATACAACGTAGGGTTTTACATCCTTGGGTAATTTCAGTCTATCAGTTCCATAAAGCTGTTGCTTCCTGGAGCACGTCCATATAAATTTTCCATTTATATTACGTGCAATTTGAACTACAATAAACTGTCTTGCCAAGTCCATGCGTTCGAATGATACACAATTTCCAGGCGAGTTAATGTGGCTGCCATTTGAATTTATTCTTTGGTAAAGAAAAGAGTTATGAAATAAATTGCGAATAATTGAATAAATTGTGAATAGAATTAAAAAATACAGTAATAAAATTCACGTGAAATAATTTGGTAGGTATTACAAAATAATAGTGCAGACATTGAAAATTAATTTGTTCATTAATAAACAATATCCCTTTCGAAATAATCAATGCTATAGAAATACTTTAATTAATAATATACAAATTATATAAATAATTCGATTTAAAATGAAAGACAGAAAAGAACAAAAATTTTTAGGTTTCCATGTCGATATCTTTTGGTTACTTTTGCAACCTTCTTTTTGAGGATCATATATTGTAATCTCAAAAAGTAATTCGGAATTATTTAGCTTACAGGAATTAGACATGATAGGACAAGATTTCGAATTAGGGTTACACAAAACTTCTGGTCGACTAAGTAGCACGACAAGATCTTGAATCCCGAAGTTTCTCATTTCACTCGAAAGTTCGATTGCTTTCAATTTAATATCGATTCAGGCTTTAGCCTAACTCGGGAAAGATTCGTAGTGATTAGATGCCCTTTGACACGCGAACGTAGTAAGTACGTCAAAGTATCTATAAATTCACCGAGCCACCGATGATCACGTGCTTCGAAATTCTACAAGATTAATTATGAGATTACTTCTATTACATAACTATCGATCAAAAATTCTGTGGACTCATTCTCGTCTTTAATACTCATCTAACCAGACACGCGAATGCTTCGACAATGAATAAAAAGAAGTTACATATCCTAAGTAAATTGTTTCGAAGATCTGTTTTATCACACTATGAATAATAATAAATAGAATATTACTTCCAGTTAATAATAATTACTCAAAAAATACAATGCAAAGTGTCACTAAAGATACAACGGTTTTTAAGCAACTGTTCCACAATTGTGAACATCGAATTGAAACGATATCTACATTCTGACGTTTAAACAATTAAATCAGAAAAAGGGTTACTCGAAATTCCTTATGTATTTCGATCGTAAAAATTCCTTATTTTAAACAATATCTTTGTACACAGATACTAAAATAGTTACTTTACCTCATAGCAAAACGTAACATAAGACTTAATACAATTTTGAAATTGATTTACAATCGTTGTATTATTAAAAAGATTTGTATTTAATTGTTCCGACATGTATTTTCCAGACATCCTGGAGACAATCCTTTCTACAGCAACATAGACAGCATGCCGGACATACGGCCGCGACGAAAGTCGGTGCCATTGGTCTCCGAGCTGGTACGTAAACAATTTTCCATTAACCTCTTTGGAAAACTCACAACTGTGCCTATAGATATATTACAGAGGTGCGCATACCTGCACGTGTGCGCATCGGCCGTGCGACCCCGTCCATATTCGTGGAAATGAACAAGCGTAGCGACGGTGTTGTTCCCCTGGTTGATCGTCGTCGTCGTCCTCCTCCACGTTTTACTGTCGTCGTCGACGTCGTCGTTGTCGTTGTCATTGTCGTTGTCGTCGTCTTGGTCGTGGTCGTCACCGGATATATTCCGTCACGTGCTTTCTTTTCCGTTCCCAACGTAAAGGAATGTTAATTAACCATGCAACGCAAGTTGAATAACACGGAAACATTCTTCTTCTTACCATCGAATGACATTGATTACTTTGGATTCGATTTATTTTGATTCATTCATTCTATCCCTTCATCATCATACCAAATGAACGACTTTGATTCCTTGCAGCACTATTCATTTTTCTTTTTCAATTTTGTTAGTCTACGTTTGTGAAGAAAAAACACTTTCGTTGAATTGATTAATATTCGGTCGACTAATGATCTTTTTGTATTTACAAATTACGATTAGAAATTTTAACTTTTTCAGTTCAATACTTCAATTACAAGATTATCATAAGAAGTTAGTTACAAAATTATGGTACTTAAGTTACAAAATTTCATTTAGAAAGAGGTTCAAGGTGTGACGCAAGAGAATAGATGGTTTCGAATGGATCTATGATACGCATTTATGATAAGCAAAGGTTCCTATGTGCAATATTAAAATTTAGCCATTTTTCCAAGTATCTCCGGAAATTATTAATATGGCTTTAAATTTTCTGGCACTTGTAGAAATTTAAGAGCTCATTACAATTCAGTTTCAAAGCTCAGCGTGCCACTGTATTGATCGAGAACGAAGGCATTACGTGTCGAGGAAATCATTTCGTAAATTGCTACTCGCGATACTTTGAGATAACATTTCACGGAGAAAGTAAGGGATCCTCGGTGTGTTCCTTGATTTCCATACCTACCTGAATTAACCAAACCTTCGGTGTATTTCAAATGATGACTGGTATAATTTCGAATCCATACCATGGATTACAAGTCGTAAATTACAACAGCGTATCGTTTCAAATGTTCAAGTATCCATTCATATGTGTTCTAGTAAAAATCCACAAAAAGCTTTCTTCGTATCAACACTAAATGTACTGGCACTGTATATATTCCCTATTCCTATCGTAACAGTTAAATAATTGATTATTAAATAAACGTGAATAATTTAAACGATAAATTTTTGTAATAAATTAAAAAAATTGAAAACTGATGAATTGGGCAATACTGATATAAAGCTGAACGGACGAAAGAAAATACAGACTTTTTAACCAATTTTTAAAACCCAGCATTCAATCGGATGTGATACGTTTATTGTTAAATAAATGATTCCAAACTTTTCGTGTTACCTGTAGCATAAAGTATCTACAGCTATTCGACATTTCTATAAATATATCTAGAACTTTTTGATATGTATCTCTATGAAAGGATCGACACCTATTTGAAACTATACGAGATTGTCAATTTTCACTAAAATATCAAAACATATTTGACTTAACTAAAGTACACTGCGGATGCAGCAAAAGATGTAGAAGATTTCATGAAAATGTCTAAAAATGTCTATATATCAGAGTAATAAAAATTTGTATCCACAAATTTAATTCACTCTATCATAACTTTCAATAATAATCAACATTTACTACTTACAGTTTCGATCACTAAATATAATCAATAATATCGATATCCTTAGAAACTAATTTCACATCCTGTTACCAATACACTTATAATTCAAATTTAAATGTTAATCCACGTTCAGCCCTTCGTTAATTCATGGACTGGGAGATTCGTAAGTTGTTATTACAGTGGAATCAAAGATCTTAAACTTTCGGCAATAAAGTTTCTCCATTAAGTACTCGGTTACCACCGTTCTCGGCAAACCGTAACCTTGAGAAAGTAAAACCAAAATCTGCGTCACATCTTTGCCCTTTTACGTCAAACTGTTCTCCTGGCCCGAAGTAGAACTTGATGTTGATTCACATCCAATTAGTTCTGCTATCTCGCGTCATCCATGCAGGAATATTTCGCTTTTGCTGAGAAAATGAATTCGAAGCTGACCGACCGCTATGCAGCCCCCGCAGACAACAAAGACATGATTCTTAGTAACCAGTTTCCAGCATAGACAATCGGCACGCTTTTAATTGGGAACCATTTCAGGTTCACTTTTAAACGACACCTCTTTTTTCACCCATTTCATTTTTCCCACCTTATAATTGAATGCTCAAATTACCGTTCAGCAGGCGTCGCTCGAAAATAGTTGGCCATTCGTCAGCACTTCTGCTCACGTCGCGAGACCATGCATTCGGAAAAATAACATACGTTGCTTATTGCGAACAATTTATTTAATTTATTTGCTTTCTCAGGTATGATCGATCCAGATACTTTGTCATTCATATTTAATTGGAAAGAAAAATTCTGCACATACTTTGTATCTATGTTTGCTATAAAATATAATAATTGATAATGATCGTCAACTTCCTGAACTTATAAAGCCAAGAAACGCGAAAAGAAGTTATGTTTCAACAGAAGAAACTTAACAAAATCTGCAGACAGATTTATAAGTAAATAGAGATTACTGGTCATAATCTTGTAATTACTTTACAATTTTATGATTACTTTACTAACTTGAAACATTACACAAAAGTTCAAACACTTATTCCTCTTTCCTTAATTGGAAATCCTAGTTTCCTCATCAAACAAGTAATTCCAAATTCAAAATGGCTACGAAAATGGATCAATGCCACCCCCGTATATCGACGTTAACGACGCTGATAGATTTAGCACGACATAAAAAGACGTCACCAGCAGCGAACGCGTTAAAATCGAACCGCTGGACTAAGTTATTCATTGCATCACACCTATCTCCAACTAACTTAACCATATTAATTTTACGGTTATGCAGTTTATCGCGGGTAAGGGAACGATCGAACCACCCAATCGTGAACTGTGATATAACAACGCCCATAATGCCCGATATCAAAATGAAGACTAGATTATGAACTCCGTGATTCCATGGGGACGCGGACAGAATCGACGACCACGACCGATATCGATCAGAGCTTCATGTGTTCTAGTACTACTTCTTGGCCGTCCCATCGAAGTGTGTTGTTCCCACTGGTCCCATCCGACTGTGCAATTCTATTTGTACCTTTGTCGCAGAAAGGAGGAACAGTGTGTTATTTCATGCAAATCCTTCCTTTAGGTTACGGTTACATTTCACTCGTATTTGGACGAATGGTCGTACTGACGAATAAACATCTGAAGATCGCTACGTATACAGGAAGAGGTAGTGATGTGATTAAATTTGTAAATAACACATGGTTTGCAGGAAATACTTTTTCTTCGACACAATATGAAGCTTTTAAGTTTCAAGCTGTATTTATTATATTCTTTATTACCATAACTAATGTATTATGTAATGTAAATTCATAAATATAAAAATCTAATAGATACTATTAAAGACAGCATTAGTTAGTAGATGTCTTTATTAAAATATGGAAAATCACGAGGGAACCACATAACCACCTTTTCCTTTATATTTTTAGGAATTTTTATAGACATTTGATTGCTTTAATGTAATGCAGTCAAAAGTTAGACTCCTCAAAGCTTCAAGGCTTAATCTTAAAGGCTGAGTTTTGAAGACCTAGACTTCTATAAAGCTCTAATCTTCAAAACTTCAAGACTCATCCTTAAAGACTGAGTCTTCGAAGTTTCAGGAGTTAACCTTAAAGCTTTAGAAGCTCGACCTAAGCCTTAAGATTAAACACTTCAGATTTTACAACTGAAAACTTCAGCATTAATATTAAAGACTTCAGCTTTTACAGCTCAAAGCTTGATCTCTTAAAGGTTAAGACACAGCTACAGCTTTCGAAGCTCAGAATTCATTTTTACAACACTACTTTGACGTATTGAATTCGTCGGAACACAAGTTTGTCGGAATATGAACCCAATGTAATCGCAACCTTAGCCGTTGACTTCATGTCTCCCGGATCAGCTTTGCTCCCCCACAGGCTGTCTCTCCTTTTGTCTCCGTTGTCGTGTCTCTTCGCGCAACGTGTGTCCACCGTCCGTGGAAGGTAACAACGAATTCTTTTGAGCCGCGTCTCGAACCATCCGTAGTCCCATCTTCGTGCTCGATCCCCGCAAGACGACGACGAACACGCGAGGCTGTTCTCTCACGAAATCGATACATCTGTTGCGCCAGAAGGTGATCGCGTGAAACGAAACAGTGGAAAATATGATAGAAATTGGCGAATTTTGGTTTTTGAATCGGGAATCGGAAATTCTTTTATTGCGTAATTATGGAGGTTTTTGAGGACATTCGCCTGAGAAATGATGGAAATGTTTTAAAAAATATAATATAATCAATAACGTAGCTGAATGAGAACACTTTAATAGATAACTGTTTATAATTGTATTTATATTGTTATAGAAAGTAATATATGGGCAAAAGATGTAAAATAAATAATAGAATTGGGATAAATATTTTGTGTCTTTAGCGAAGAATATTAAAGGAAAAATATAATTAAAGTAATAGATTGACGAAGTCAATGCAACGTTAATTCTAATACACTATGGAAAATTAGTAATATTTTCAAATATCTACGTTAGGAGATCATGTGACTTTTTTCTATGATAAATATAGTAATGTAAAACGTTCTTTTCTTCATTACTTCATTCATTCATTTTAACAGATAGGAGATATCAATTTATAAGCGATAACTATTAGGAAACTATTATAGTATGTGATAATTTAAAATACATTATATATATCATATATAAATATATATCAATATTCTTTAAACATTTTCTGCATCCATTATGTATTTATTTTGCACACTTCGAGATTTGATATCAGCAAATATATTTTCAGAGTACTTATAACTTATTTAACTCCAACACC